CCATGCAGTATAGCCATCATGATCTTCTGGAAAGCAGGCGCAGCCGAAGCCAGTCCATATGGGACACGTTTATAATGGAACAACCCATCCTGGGTAATAAATGCCGTTAAATCTCGACTTTCAGGGTGCAATGGAACCTGATGATATGCTGAAGCCAGGTCTATGGTCGAGAACACTGTCGCCCCACACAGTTCTGCAAACAGTTCCTCTATATGGGGCAAGGGGTGGCTATCTACAACTATAGCCTTATTAGGCTCCCTTAAATCAACGCTCATGCATTTTTTTTGTGTCACTACAATTGGGGAGACCCATGGAGATGCATCAACCCGTTCAATTATGTCATGCTCCAACAGGTTTTTCAGTTCCTCAGAAACTGCTTGCCTAACTGCCAATGGCAGTCTTCTCAATTTTTGCTGAAAAGGAACAAAACTTTCTTTCACTTTCACTTTGTGTATAAATCCACTTGCGCAACCTACAGTATGTACTGGCAGTATTTCAGAATTGTCATTTGTAATCAGAGTATCACCTTCAATACGGCAGTGAAGTGCTTTTAGCAGATCCATTCCCAGCAAAGGTGAGCCTGACTTTACTATGTAGAATGTGCCCACCGCAGTACTACCATCATGGAAGACATCTGTAGAGAAACAGCCCAGCACTGGAATAGTCTCTTTGGAATAAGAAACTAATTTTACTTTCGCTGGATTGAGGGTGCATGAAGAAAAATGTTTAGGGTAAATGCTCTCAGGCAGTATGGATACTGATGAGCCCGTTTCAACAATTAACTCCACTGGCTGACAATATCCATCCTTTGTTTTAATTTGCACTGAACAGAGAATTTTGTCTGTCACAGTCTTAGGATCATTCATGTATAATACAGTGAGCTCTGGTATAACAATCTCACGCACCTTTTTCTGTGATGAGCGGCAAACTTTGGCAAAGTGCCCAATTTTTCCACATGAATTGCATACTGCTTTGATCGCTGGACATGAAGGTTTGTTAGCCAGATGGCTGTTGGATCCGCAATGATAACATGAACGCCATTGTCTGGCGTTGGCGACTGGGCGATCTGATGAAGAGGAAGTTGATGTCTTTCTGTCCCGCTGTTTTACATTTCGGTGACTCTGTATGGCCCGTACTTGTGAAGTACCTGAAAGAATCTCCGAGTTATTCAATGCAGTCTCCATTTACACTGCTATGCAGACAGCTTTATTCAGAGTGAGGTCAGGCTCAAGCAAAAATCTGTCCCTAACTTTGTGAATTAGCTGCTCGCTCCACAAGCTGATCACGTAGCATTTGTTCTTCCATGTCTCCGAAATCACATACAGCCGAAAGCTCCCGTAAAGCAGCCAGGAACTGATTAACAGTTTAATCAGTCCGCTGTGTCTTTTGCCTAAATTTGTGTCTCTCGGCGACAACATCAACTGCAGGAACGAAATATCTTTTCAGTGCAGCGACAGCCATAGTATAAGTATTGCCCATGTCTGGAAATGTATAAAACAGTCTTTGTCCTTCTGTGCCCAAAGCATGTAACAGAACAGCTCGCTTTCTTTCCTCCGGCCATGCGTCACCAGTAGCATCGATTACAAGTAGGTAATTTGCAAACATTTTGAGCCAGACAGTAAAAGTAAGTGAAGGCTCACCAGGGCATGGCAGGAATGGAGCCGGTAAAGGAACTGTAAACGACATCCTCGTCGCCAAATGTGATGTTTGTACGTTTTGTAATAAAATCAAGAAGCAAGCACAGACACGAGTGTGTATTTTCTCTCTCTCCTTTACTACTCCTCCTCTTTCTTTTCTCCACTGCCATCTAGTGGCTGCACAATACCTCTGCAGACACAACACAGACGTCCATATGAGAAACAATTACCGTCCGAATCGGGCAGCAAAGAAGCAAAGCCGAGGTGCTGACGGCAACGCGCTTCACTCTTTGTCCTGATCCAGAAATTTTCCTTTTTTGTGCAGTCCTGGGTGACCGAGTGCGCTCTTTATCCCTTTGTGAATTAATTGCTCAATCGCTTATTGTGAGGGAGTGTGTAAATGTTACCATGTTCTTTTTTCCCCTTGTATTTATAGTTGTTTTGATTTACTCTTAATTTTTGTGTAAATGCTTTCATTTTTTTTTTTCGGAAGCAGTAGGGATAGGGTGCCATTTTCTTTCAACTTGTAATTTTGCCTATGTTTATGTTAGTCAGGGAGTCAGATAAGACTTTATTTATTTATTTTTCTTTTTTTCAGGTTATTTAGAGTTTCTATTGATAGCTAGATTGTTTTGTTTTTGTTGGCCTTGCCCTCTCCTGAAGATTTAATTCCTTTGTTATTCTTTTGTTATTAATAAAAAAGCTATTTGCTTAATTGTGTATTTGTTGCTTTTCTGGATCAGGGGATTGATGTGACCGTCAGACACATTTTCTTTCATTTTTTGTTACAACCTCGCTTACCTCTAGACATATCAGTACAAATTTAGGTCTACACCAGCAGAACTGTCAGGGACAATATTCCCTATGTGCAATACCCAAGCTCCATGCAAGGAAAGTCACTGCGTAGAACCTTCCTCTCTTCCTTACCATGTCAGGCAATTTAATGCCTATCCCAAGGGCAAAGCTCAAAGGACTGCTAATGCTAGCCTTTTATACTAGACATTACCTTTTAAGAAATAATGACTCAAGATATGAAATTTCCCAGCCTAGTTCAAAAGAGGAGCAACCTTCCTACCTCAGTAGAAAGGTGCTCGTGTCCAGCTGGCTATAGGCAAAAATCTCTAGAGACCAGCACTCTCAAAGGTGCTTGTCAACAGGAAGGGATGCTAATAAGGCTACAAGGCCACTTCCCACTGGGGCTGAGAGATGTGAGCAACTGTGACTCAATGGAAGCCATTGGAGAGCTAGGCTACTCCACTCAGATACTGCAGTCGCTGACCAAGTTCTCAAATTCCCAGCACTCCCGAAGGTGCCTAACAACAACAAGGGGTCCGCAGCGGCACTGCAGAGGGTCCGTCAATTAATATTTGATCACAAATTATTTTTTTGTTACAAAAATTAAAACATGGGTAAAAAATAACACAGTCAATTTTAGATATAAGCACCCTGAAACAAAAGCAAGAGCACCCCAGCTGATACTGTAATAATATATTATTACCGATTTAACATATAATAAACCGATTTAACAAACGCTCCATTGCATTTTTGAGTTTGAGCTCTGGTTAATATGAAATTTTCCTATTTACAACATGTTTTTGCAGCGGTGAGAATGCCTATAATAATAATCTTAAATGTTTCACTGTGCATTGCTATTCTTGTTATGGAGCCCTTGTTTACACATTACATCTGCACTTTATTCACTAATTTCAGATACTCAGTGATTTGATTCTTAATTGTCCATCTCACAGTAAAAATAAAAAATGTTAAGTTTTAGTAAACTTGAAACTATCCAAATAAATATTTATTTTTCCATCTGACAGTAAAATTAAAATGTGAATGCAAAACATGCATCACTCTGCAAATCCATTAAAATAATATACAACAACTGCAAACAACTAATTAATTGTGATATTTATCTCCACATGTTGATTTTTATGATGCATAAATCTAAATTTTAACAATAAAAAATAGCCTAGGCAGTAATGCATGTGCAACCACAATAATGTGCATAGTTCTGATCTACTGTCTTAACATAGTATACATATAACAAGGCTATATGCTTAATATGTAGCTCTGCTTGACACATTTTGTATCGGGGGTCCCTGCTCCGTGTCTCTGTTGCCTAAGGGGTCCTTACCCTGAAAAACGTTGAAGACCCCTGCTCTACACCAAAATGTTTGGGGGAGGAAGCTTCGACTTCATTGTTTTCAGGGAGCTTCCTACTTAGGGGACCCCGATAGGGGGAGGCAGTTTCAACCTGAGCATTACAAAGGAGCTTTCTGCTTAGAGAACCCCAATGTCTGGGTGAGGCAGATTAAACTTTGTTACTATAAGGGTGTCTCGTACTTTACAAGAAAAAATAAGGAGGAAACATTTAGAAAAATAGTATCAAGACTGGTTGTGCTCTAAACCCTCACAGTCAAGTCCTAAAATAAAGAAGAATATACTATTTATCAAAAATATTTCCTCCATTAACATCATCGGTCAAGCTTCAGGGCCTGATGTAGCCCTGTGAGGTGTAAGCAACCTCTGGAAAGAATGGGGAGGGGAAGAGAGGGAGGGAAGATGTTCCCTTTTGATATTTCACTCATACTGCGTCGCTAGACTCTATGGGGAGAACTCCTTTTTCTCTGATGACTGAAGCCTTTTCAATCAAGCAGTGTAACTGCACGGCCATTGGTTCGTGCTGTAAATTAAAAATGAACCAATGGCTCGGCAGCGGAGTCTCTTCAATCATCTCTTCGCTGATCTACGAGACTTGAAGCCGCTCACCACTCACATGCCTTGCTGTGGATAGAAGCTGATTCAGCGACCTGCGCTGCTCTGCTGTTTCCATTCCACGCTTCCAGCTCGAGCCGCCTTCAGCATTCGCGCAGCTCTCGGCTCATCCCCTGCTGCCATCCGGTGAGCCTAAAAGAACTTATTTCTAAAGAGGTAAGTTCTGAAAGAGCAAATTTTCTAGCGATGTTGTTGCAATGTTGTGCTGCGAGTGTGGCTCGTGCAGCCAGCACGATGCAGAAGGGCAGTGAGTGCTTCGCCTGTGTGGGCAGCACCCATGCAGAGACTGTGCGCTCACTGAGACAGAATGCTCTCACTGAGAGCATGAGTCCCGCTCTTCTCCGCTCGCAGACTGCCTTCAATGAAGGCAGCTCCACTCTTCCATTTCTCTTCTCTCAGCAAAGCTCTTAAAACAAATATTTATTGTGAAGCATCTAAAGCTCTTTACACAGTACTGCAGACAATCTGAATTTCCCACAAATGTGAACACGATAACATACATTTGCAATAAATGAATAAATAAATGAATGGATGAATTGACTGTGCATTTGGGGTAACTTATCTTTAGGTGCATGATGTTCTCACCGTAATTGTCCGCGGAATATCAGGTTTCTTGATTTTCAAATACAGCAGACCTGATACTGTGATCCCATAAAAGAACCAGGCAGCAAAGCTAGAAAACAAAAGGAACAATATTAAAGAAAAAAACTTCACATATGTTCACTTCTTTTTTTTATGATTTTAAAATCAGACAGAATCTTCAAATGAGCCAACACTATTTAAACTCGAACTGACAAAAATTCAAATCTAAACTCCCAGAAGCCCTTGAGACTCATTCACCCAGAACAGCCCAGCAACACCCTAGCAACTATCCAGACCACCCTAGTAGCTGCCTGACAACCACATAGCAACCACCCAGAACAACCTAGCAACCACACAATCACACCTAGCAACATTTTAGCAACATTAATTAACATTGCTTACACTATCAGAAAAACTAACAAAAACAATTATTTTTTGTATTTTTACATTATACATTAACAATGTAATCAATGTTCTATTTATTAAAGCTAAGTATGAATCTCATCAAGTTTTAAGCATTTTACATTTATTCCAAAATAATAACTCAAGGTAGTAACAACTTAAACACTATATATTTTTTGTCAACTTATGTTCAACTATTCTTTTTAATAGTAAACTTTTAACTTTTATTTTAATTATTATATTATTATTATTTATTTATTTATTTTTGCTCATCATTAGTCATCAAAGCTCAGTCACAGACACAGAGATTTGCTTTAACTTTCAGCAAGCTGATTACTTGCTAAAAACTCACAGATCATGTTTTCATGCCATTTCAAGTCTTATTTTGATGTAACAAAGTGGTCACACATCTAATGCCGAGTTCACACTGCACGATTTTCAAACTCGTCGGATCGCGTTGTTTTCACACTGCGTGACTATCTGGGGTAGCATTCAGTTGCTGCTGTGTTCACATTGCACGATGGATCGGCGACAGGGGCTTTCACACTGCATGACTTCACAATAGGAAGAATCGCCGACAGCTCTGTCTGGTCCGCAAACTACGTTTCACAACAAAACACACGCGAGAAGTGATAAGGAAATAATGCGAGAACCCGCGTGCGTCAGACCGGAGTTCTCCAGCGAGACTGTAATTATTAAAAAATATATAAATATATAGCCCGCAAATTGTCTGTGAGCAGATTTCCAGCTACAAGGAGAAAAAGAAAAACAGATTATGTAGGAGGGAGATGTAGGGAACAGGGATTGGGTGTTCTGCAAAGAGAGTTGGAGGTAAATAATTTTGCAGTAACTGTTATGCTGATGTTGTGGCTGGTCAAGCAAATGTTTGTGCTTGTTTCTGTATGATATAATTTTTCATATATCTATTAAAATACTGATATTCTGGTCTATAACTCTTCCCCGAACTTCCCTCTGCCCTGTATCTTGGTCTCTCATTGGCTGTAGGTCATCGCCGATGTAGTTTTCAGTCAGAACTCATTTCACACAGCATGATTGTGAATCGCCGTCAGCTCCAGATATTTAGCATGGCAAATATTTTGCGGGCGTCGGCGACGTGTCGGCGATTCCCTCAGATCGCGTCTTTGATAATTCATACCGCGTGATTGTCACTCGCGTGAACGAGCACCGATTTGCCTCCGATGTCAGGCATTTGTCTGCGATTTCGCAAAACCTGTCGGCGAGTGAAAAATCGGGCTAATATCGTGCAGTGTGAACTCGGCATAAGTGTGTGAGTTTACTTACTTTTTTAAAAATTAGTCTTCCCATTAATGGCATTGTATTGTTCATTCAGACTGATTTGCGAATGCAAAATGTGCACGAACAAAAGAGGCAGGATTTATCGCATGAACTAATCACAGCCAAAATGGCCGAACATAACCAGTCATATCCAATTATATCATGATGGAGGCATTGCCTCCTCTCACGTGACTTCACCCTATTCATTCTCAATTACCCACCACCTAACTCACGGCATGCTTTGGGGGGTCTGTTAAAACTCTATGAACACAATAACAAGCATTTTTTTTAAAAACGGGGTACAATGAGGTGACATTATTTTACACACCCTTCAACCATTGATCATTAAAAGAAAATGTAAAAGTATAAAAGTAATAACAAATTACTTTCAGCATACCACGAATAACTCCTAAAGAACCTCCTTCTATCCACAGCAATATTACAGATGTGTTAAATATCATTACAGTAGTATGTCTTTATTTCGTGTCATTTTACAGCATCCGTGTAAAAACAAACCTGGAAAGAGACATGAGGATTTGGAGAGAAAAATGAAAGATTCTTAGTGCATTCCAGGGAATTATATCGTAATGGTTTATATAATAAATAAAATCAGGCAGACCACAAATGCACAGTATATGTTGTCTTTTTTTTCATTTACTTATAGCGGAATCAGGAAGTAAATAATGCAGTGGGCTGAAAATAGCTATTCTATAGATATTGTTGTTAGATTACATCACATTAATATACCAAACATAACGTAATTTTCCTGACAACTGAAAACATAAAATGAATGAAAATTTACAGCCCATTCAGTCAAAATGTTGGAAAATGATTATTTGTAGCCCAATCCTATGATTTGAAACATTTTGTTGCAGTCTTTTTGAGTAGAACTTTCCCAAACCGGAAGTGCCTCCCATAAATTAAAACGCAGTAGGCTCGTTAGGAAAAAGGTGGATAGACCCTTTTCACATGGCATCACGCAACTTTCGTTCCGATGAGAAGCAGGTTATTCTTACTTCCGCCACCATAGTAAAGTGCTATCGCTACCAACATGGAGTTCACCCAGACACTTGTACACCTGCCACAAATGCGGTTAGAGAATGACTGCAGCTTTCTACTCTCGTCTTTATTCAAGGTGGTGCATCTGGCATATCAAACAAACTTACCGAATACCGATTGTCGAGATTTGCCACTTGGAGTCAAGGGAGGAGATGAAAATGGCCCTTACGAAAATTAACCATGATTTTATTACAGTAACCATGGTTTATCTATGGTTATTGTAGTAAAATCATAGTAATCATAAAATTAGCCATGGTTTTAATATAGCATTTGCACTAATGGTAAACTACAAAATTAACTATGGTTTTACTACAAGAACGATGGTTTAGCAATGGTTTTTGTAATAAAACCATTGTAACCACAGAATTAACCATGGTTTTACCATAGCATTTGCATAGTATAGTTCTGCTACGGGGTATTCATGTATGCTATATGGGGGTTATTTCATGTTATATGTGCAGCAGCAGTCTTTCTTACATGCTCACAGCAGCATGTTGTGGATGCATTTGCAGTAGCAACGTCTTGGTAGCAGCTGCAGCAGCAGCGTAGCAGATCTATTCTGCCAAGACCAAACACATTAACATTGTCATGTCCATTACCATGCCAATCCCTCCAAGAGTTGTCATGACAGAACTAGGTTTTTGTAGTAAAATCACAGCAACTACAAAATTAACCATGGTTTTACTACAGTATTGACAGTGAAACCATAGTGACGACGAAATTAACCACACATAGCTTATGTGTTTTCTAGTAAAACCATAAAATACAAAATTAAATATGGTTGTTCTATAATATGTGTGCTGACCCTTTTATACCATAGGAGCAGGGGCATAGCCATAATTTCAAATTTGAGGGGGACAGAAATGTCAAATGTAATTAAAGCTGCAAGGAGCGATAAAAGGGCCCTCACACCCGGGGCTCACTGCCACCCAGTGGCCATAGGAGAACAGCAAACGTTGGGCAATATGCTTCTAAAGTGGTAAATATTTGTGCCAAATTTCCTGATGCCAACAGGTGGCGCTATGATTATAACTGAATATTGGCATGTAGATGTCTTCAGACCAGGACTCTTACCAAACATGTGAAGTTTGGGGCAGATCTGACATTGCATGTTTAAGTTAGTGTAAAACAAGAAATTTCCTGTTGCCAGCAAGTGGCGGTATAATTATAACTGAATATTGGCCTTTAGATGTGTTCAGGCCAGGACTCTTATAAAACGTGAGAAGTCTGGGGCAGATTGGGCATTGTATGCATGAGTTACAACAACTTCCTGTTTCATAGTATTAATAGCATGCTTTAGCACTTAGTAAGTGTTGCTAGCATGTCTGAGCATATTTCTAGCATGTTTAGCACACAATGGCATATTTTACTGTCTTGCTAATAGTGCATTACAGTGTAAAACATGTCCCTTCCTATTGACAGTAGGTGGCGCTATGACTAAAACTGAATCTTTGCATGTAGATGTGTTCAGGCCAGGGCTCTCATCAAACATGTTAAGTTTCAGGCAGATTGGACACTGCATGCCTGAGTTACATGAACTTCCTGTTTCTCTGCAATAATAGCATGCTTTAACACTTAGCTAAGTGTTGCTAGCATGTTTTTTCATGTAACACTGGCTTTTTAAATTTCTAAATTTAGGGCAGATTGGACACTGCATGCCTGAGTTACAGTAATTTCCTGTTTCACTGCATTAATAGTATGCTTTAGCACTTAGTCACTTCCTGTTGCTAGCAGGTGGCGTTATGACTATAACTGAATTTGGGCATGGGTGTATGTGTTCAGGACAGAACACCTATCAAACGTGTGAAGTTTGGGGCAGATCGGACATTGCTTGCCTGAGTTACAGCAACTTCCTGTTTCATGGTGAAACATCAAACTTTGTCAGGCCGCCAGGGACACGCCCCTTGACGAAACTCTAGATCTTCGCAATTTAACGTCAATTTAACGGCCTTATGATAACCCTCACCATATTTCAAGATGATCCGATTAAAACTGTAGGACAAGTTCGTCAAAGTACGAGGCCTGGAAATGGCAAAAACTGCACAAAAATCATACATAACGTACAAAATTCTAAATAACGTACTTCCTGTTGGGTTTTGGATTTTGTACCAAGATATTTTTTTGTAGGTAATGGTGTGTTACATGTGCGTACCAATTTTCGTACATGTAGGTAAAAAGTAGCTCGTGGCACACTCCGCTGAATGTGTACAGGTGGCGCTATCGAGTCATTTTGCCACACCCACTTCTGAAACCCATGTCAGATGTACAATTTCGCCAGTTCTGATGCGTGTGCCAAGTTGCATGAGTTTTCAAGCATGTTTAGGCCCTCAAAAA